TCAATGTCCAGAGTTACAGCTACTCCGTATTCACTGGTGGGCAACTTCAGGCACTAGAGCAGAGGCAGCAATTGTTGCTTGTGATCGTATTGAAACTGGAGGAGTAACACTTTATTATCCTCATGTCGATGAACTTGTATTTTTCAATTCTCCTGCTGGATATTTTAATGCATTTAGTCTTAATCACCAACCCCAATCATCTCTAATCACATTTGATCAATATTATACTCCTATTATAACAGGCCCTAATGAAAGTATAGCAGGTATAACAGCTGTTTCCACCCAACCAATTGGGTTCATGGCTGGACACCAGTGCGGTGAAGTTCCTCAGCGTATAATAAACTGTGATCATTATGTCGAGCAAATCCCTCCATCCTACACTTGGGGATATAACTTCCTAATTGTTCCATTTCATTCTAGAGACTTTGGGTACATAATAAAGATATTACCATACAGTCCCTCTAATACTGACTTTAAAGTATTCTGTGTGAATGACGGCAATGGTATAGTTGATATATCAGTTCAGAATTATGTGTTAGAGGAACGTTTGGTACCAAATAAAGGTGTTTTTGATACAACTAGTCAAAGCTACTGTACAATACAGTCAAACAAACCTATTGCTGTAATGCAGTATGCTAAAGGACATGAAGTAGATGATTCATATGTTGATTCACCATCAACGAAAACAGATGCCGGACTGGGTGATCCAGCAATGGTATGGATACCATCAGTTGCTCAATATCTCAACAAATATTTCATATCGAATGATGTTTATTTAATCAGTGAGAATGACCTTTTCTCCAGTAATGGTATATACATTACAGTGCTACCAGAGTGTTTCAATGCCAGTGGTATATTAGACAATGGTGCTCCATTGGAGGCTGATGTTAGTAAATGGAGTGCATTCTATTGTGACAATATCACTGATGTATGTGGATATGGAGTGTCTATTGATATAGTACAAGGACCTCATTTACTAGAACACACTGACTCTACCTGTTCATTCAGTGCAGTATTGTTTGGGTGGGGAAACCAGAAAGGATATGCCTATCCTGCTGGCTTTGGAATGAGACCTATTGCAGGTGAGATTGAGTATAGTATTAATTGTAACATTAATTGTTATTTTTAGAAACATTTTATTCCATTGCTGCCATTCCCTCAAGTGAAAAGTTACTGGTTGATATCATAGTATATAGATCTGGTGACCTCTCACAGACCAGCCATATTGGAGTTATGATTAATGGTAACAGTATTATGTACATGTACTTGGAATGTTATCATAATTATCGGTGATGAATGTAAGATTATTCTTATTTTAGGTGACAATGAAAACATTCTAAATGTTTCATTTTCCACTGATGAATCATCTCGAATGCTACCAGTACCAGTTAATATGACAAACTTACATGATAAAGATATTATTATTAAACTAATAAAATCTGATGAAGTTCATTTAGGGTATCCATTCTCATTACTAATCACTGTTAATGATAATGGTACAATTGAAGGTACATGCACATGTATTAATATTTATTAATAACTTATTTTAGTAAATTCCAGTGTGGCTGTTACTCCAACCCATTGTACAATGACCAGTGATACCAATACACCAACTGAAGTACATTCATCATCATATATTAATAATGAAGAATATACCAGCTCATTAATATTGACCAGTATCAGTAGTACAGGTAATGTGCATGTACATGTGTATTAATTATAATTGTGTTTATTTGCTAGTAATATTAACAACGATTGAACCCTCTTCATCTCCTGTCAGTGTTGGTCTATCATTAATAATAACAACAGTAATGATTGGATTAACTGCAGTATTGTTCATAATATCAATAATAATATTAGCCACACTCTCAGTATATGCACTGTATCAGTAAGTACAACTACATGTGTTGATGTGATGATGTAATGTTTATTTATAGTAACAAGGCAATGGCTAAGAATAGCAACAGGTACAATATAAGATAAAAAGGAAAGTTTATATTTAATTTTTTTAGAGGAATCGATAATGCCATGTATGGAGTACATGAACCGCCACAAGCAAAGAAATAAATAATTAATTAATATCAATAATTAATTAATAATTGTTAATATTAATAATAATAATTAATTAATTAATTGGTTACTTTATATTCCTTCAATAGCTTTATTAATGTCAGTGTTAGTCCAGTCATCATGAACATTCTCCAGGTGATTGTCAAAGTCAATCAACTTCTTATAGACTCCATTGAATATCAGTTTCTTAACAGCTGGTATGGTCTGGTCACCATTGATCAC